GTAGTATTAAAAAACAAAAGAGCGGGCAACCCCACCCCTACCACGCAGTGGGCTCGGTGTCCGAGCGGTCTCATTATATTTAGAGAAGAGATGACATTGACGTTTACCTCCAGGGAAGAAGATATAGAAATCTTCGGGTTGGGAGGGACCTTAAATCTCTTCGGCGAAAANCTTATACTGCGTGCGGTCGTTGCGCGTGCGCACAAAGGAATGAGACCGCTCGGACACCGAGCCCACAGCGTGGTAGGGGTGGGGTTGCCCGCTCTTTTGTTTTTTAATACTACTACGCTGAATATTGTGTGCGGATTGGGTTGTCGTACAGGGGTACTACATGGTAAAATAATTCTCGGAGGCGAAAGCAGGATAATTAAGTAAAGTACACGTTACAGGTAACAGCATAAATAATTATTTATTGTACTGTAAAATTAATTTCAAGGAATTTTACCGTATAATAAACTGTAGGTAGGTAATAAGCTCTGTCTAAGGATAATAACTTTAACTAATGGTCACATTGGGAATTCCTAACCATTCGCTAAATTACATTGTTTAAGTTACTTTTCTCACAGGATCTTCTGAACTAAAATTAAAGAAAATAGTAATAATGAAAATTGATGAATATTAATAATGCCGATACACCTAATCCCACTGACAATTTTTAGCTCAGTCATATCATTAACTTTTTATTCAGCTACTTTTAAAAGATCAGCATCCCTGTTCATGTAAGGTATTAACTCTTTTAAAGGCTTTTTTCAGTTTTTTCAGTTATTTAACAATAACTTTAACTCTGGTGTGATATACGTAACTTTCACATTTGAAAACTTGTTATGTCATCTTTGTTACGGTTTTTGTTTTTTCACTGATATACCTAATACCTTTTTAAGAGTAGGCGCACACCGTTGATTTTTAGTTGGCCGATAGTTGTGCCCTATTTTAATTTGTATGAAGAATCGGCCAAATCGAATCGGCGTAGTGTGCGCACTCCCATACATGCCCATACTGATCAACTGCCCGACTAAACTATCGGCCGACGAAAAATCAACGGTGTGCGCCTACTCTCAAAGTGTTAAATGTGTTGCCAAATCCCGTTTTAGTGAGAATTAAATAATTGGAAAATCATGCAATCCATCGCCGAAGTCTAATTGTAAGGATCTCTAAAACCTGGTGCGAGCAATTCCGATGGTTGCACATGCAAATTGGTCCGGCGTAGTTTGCGTTTATTAGCGGAAATGCATTTAGTTTTTAATTACTGCAAGAAAGTTAACTTTGGGCTTCATTTTTATTCGCTTATTTAGCGACTCGACGCGGTTCCGTTGTGTTCCACTAACGGGCCCGTAGGGTAAGTAGAACAGTTTACGTCCTAATGTGTTTTGTTTAGGTGTAACATGAAAAAATATATAATTCAATACCATTTCAAACGGGCTTAAAAAGAATAAAGATCTCAATTCGGATATATTTTTTAATATTCAACTGTTTTTATTTATTCTTTATATTTTTATACCCACCAAAATAATGTTTTACTAAGTTCTCTTTTATTTTTTTTACTTAGCATTGTTTTACATAAAATTAATTTAAAAAATAAGTTATACGACTAAAAGCTCAGTCATCTAACAAAATCTCTCAAAAAGCAAGTTAAAATATGTTTTTAATTTTTATGCCAAAGCATAGTCTCATAACTAAAAGTGACATAGCAAAATGTTTGTTAAATTGAAGTTAAAAAGCAAAAAATGTTTTATAATGTCTAGTTAACTTATCTTATTTTGCTTTACCAGCAGCAGCATTGTACTGCAAGTATTTTTTGAAGTTCATTAAATTTTGCTAGCTTGCTAAGCTGGATGAGCGCTACAATTTATAGTGACAAGTGCCGTGTTTTAGTAAAAATCCGATTGCGCCAGTTGTTCTTTTAGAGCAATTTTCACGCTCCAGTTACAAAGAACTCAGTGCGCTGCATTTGTCTGAGTTTACCCGCTGCAGAAATGTGTTAAGTTACACACTGCAGTGTAATACGAAGATTTTTGTTACAGGTTATTGTTATTTTCAATGATTAATAGATCCAATTGTTCAATTAAATTAGTTAACTAATGAACATGTGTTTCAGGTTTTTTCAAAATTCATTCCCTAGAGAGTAAATAAATGTGATGACAAGATGATCCGTTATTTGAGATATTTATTACCTACATCTAAAAAAAATTACCAGAACCTACGAAAAGTGAGAGAACCTCGACCATTGGACTACGGATACTTAATCGTTACAATTGCCTTTGAAAGGTATGTTGTCTGGCATTAGAGATAGATATGGATTCCAATTGCAAATAAGAACGTTGCAAATAACTCTATATTCGTAGTTACTTCAACTTCAATATTTTCGTCCCACTCATATTTCAGGGTATCTGACAGAGACAGATAAAGCAGTATCGATATCATCAGTGAAGTAGGGTCCGATTTCGGATGCCGACTCCATAATCCCGGGCGATTGCTGCTGAATAATAAACCAAATTTGAACTACATAATCTGGGCGAAGCTCCGATGGATTTAACCTTTACATATTTGATGGCACGTTTATTGTGGATGCACAGTTTTAGTTGAGCGATGTGTTGGTGAAAATCGGAAAACAAATGTACCGATTTTACAGAGATATTTTAAAAAGTTGTAAAAGAAGCAACAATGGTCCCAATTACAATCCCTGAGGCACTCTCATGATTCACTTCTTGAATGTTTTTAAATTGCTTTAAAAAGCCTTTTACTGAAAGGACTGAAATAATTAATCTACGCCTACTCGAATAACTATAAAATCAAAGATTGTTTACATAAATTTAACTCAGTGGTCTATACACACAGTCAACAGCTTCAGCCGATCTAGAAAGTCAATTGCCACTCAACAAACCAAACTAAACTATCGGACAGATGAAATAACTTTTGCTATTACGAATTTAATAATGGCACGTATATTTTGTGGCTGCATAGTTCCAACCAGACGTTGTTATGTCAAAATTGTTGGACATGCAATTTTACTGAAGAAAATAATTGCATAAAATTAATAATAAATAATAATAAATAATAATAAATAATAAAATGTTTATTGCCAATAAATCTTAATACAAAATATTCTTATAACTAGCGGCTTCTGCACTAAGCATAGCTTGTATCGCAGTAGCCTTTTTAAGTTTTTACATAATATCTGTACCCCCAGTGAAAACGGAGTTAAGTCGAAAATGGTGATTTTTGGGAAATCGCATTTGAAGTTAAAAAAAATCCTGCTTCGTCGCTATTAGAGATAACTTGGTGAAATATTTTTTAGGTGAAAGGTAATGTTAGATATAATTAGGCAGTGTGCCAGTTTGGGAAATATAGCATGTAGTTTTTTCGTAATTAAATAAAAACCCAGTTATATCGCCATGCACGGCAACTTTACATTCGTGTAAAGTGATGTAATAGGACATAAATCATTTTACACCACACTGAATTGACCACCCGCTAACAAGTGTAAAGTGATACATTTTACGCTNAATTATTTAAAGGCTTGTTTAAATGACATATGTCTTTTATCGTGTGCCAGAGTTTCTTCGGGTTATTTTTGTTAGCAATTAATATTTGGTTTTCGTAGGTACTTTTAGTCTTCTGGAGGATACTGTTTAGGAAGTTACGATATCTTTTGTACGATGTGACAATTACTGGGTTTTCCGGATTTTGCTTAGCTTTAAGGTGGAGTCGATCCCTATGTTTCTGGCATCTAATTAAACCAGGAGTAATCCATGGCTTGAGATTAAACTTCGAGCGGCTGATTATGATTTTTGTTGTACTACTTGCTATAGCGTCGTTTATGATTTTACTGAAAAAGGATACTGCTTCATTAGTATCTTGACATTTTGTTACTGTTGTCCAATCTGCTCCTGAAATTTTGTCCACGACTGTTTCATTTTCTATTTTGAGTCTAAACCGGGTTATAGGGTTTTTATGTTGACCGACTGCTAAACCAAGTAAGCATGTGTAATGATCTGTAATGTCCGTAAGACAGACCAGTCCGACTGCCTGGTCTGGTTTTTTCACAAAGAAATGGTCTAGACAAGCACTCGCTCTGGTTGGCTTGGTTATTGCTGGGATAAGTTGGTGTTCGCTCAGAAGCGAGACATACTCAGCACTCTGTTCACTCAGCGGTTGGGCGCAGAGGTCTAGATTTATGTCACCTGAGAGTATGAGTTTCTTATTTTTATTGTTTATTAAGATAGAATTAAGAGATGACAAGAACTTATTTACGTTTGTGAAAGTGGGTGACCTATAGATCCCTAATACTAGTAAACCACCTTCTAATTCAATCTCCAGGCAGTTACAGTCTTCGCACAAAGACTCGTTGACACAATATTGTAGAGAGTTCTTAATGTAGGCTGTAACTCCGCCGCTCTTATTTATGAATTTATGGGTCCTAAAAGAGCTATAGCCGGGCAAATCTGGAATAATAGAGTTCTCGTTTAACCAACACTCAGTTAGGATTATAACGTCCAGGTACATATTTAGGCGTTTAAGAGTTATCAAAAACGAATCGAAGTTAAGCTGAATGCTTCTTATATTTAAAGTTAGGCATTTAAAATTTAGTTCCTGGCTCAAAAAGCCAGCGCAAGATTCTATATTGTCGAGCGAGTGACAATCTATAGATAGAGTGTCGTCGAAATCTCTTATTAAGTTAGTCATTTTTAAATAATTTTAAGTGCTTAAAGGAGATAGTATGTCTTAAGTAGGAATTATAGAAAATAGATTGTACTCGCTCGATCGGGACGGAACTCTCTGTGTTTTTAGGTTTTCTTCTCTCTGTGTGTGTGTACATGTATAGTGTGTGTGTGTGTGAGAGTGTAGTGTTAAGAAAGTGAGTTAAAAGAGGTAACTTAAAGTAATGAGATCGTGTTTGAGATAAAGCTATTATCACGTTTGAAAATAACAATTGATACATCAAAAAGGCCGATAAAATAAATATGTTTTTGTAAGGCTTATACATATCTGAGAGACTCGGCTTAAGCAGCTGTCTGGACCGCCGGCCCGACGTGCTCTTCCAGGTCCTTGTGAGTTGAGATACGGATTGCCGGTTTGTTGTCTGCCTTTCTGACGAAAATGTAGCCGTTTCGGGTCCAGCAGTAACGAAACCCATGTTCGCTGGCGCGTGTCCGAGCTTCACGAAATAAATTCCGATTTTCCTTGGACAGTCTCTCGTTGAAAAATATTCTGGTCGGTTCACCGTCTACAAGACCCTCCGAAGTCACGTTTCGTCTGGTTTTTGCCGCATTCATAACATCGTCCCGTTTCTTCTTCCTTGTTAGTTTAACAACAATAGGGCGTGGACGTAACGAGTTGTTTTGGGAACTCCTCTTAGTGGTCTGGCGGCTTCTAGCGCCTACTCTTACTACCTCGTCAATGTCCGATTCAGTCAAGTCGACTCCAATTTTATGAGATGCCGTCATAACAATATGGTAAAGGTTCTCGTTGTCTCTTTCGGCTAAACCAACTATTTCTAGGTGGTTTTTCATGCTTTCTTGTTCCTGAGAAGCGATTTGTTGTTGGAGGATTACGACTGTGGTTTTCAGGTCCGCGATCTCCAGTTTCGCCCTTTCCATCTGCTTAGAGTGCTCTTTCAGGGTTTGGTGTAGGGTGTCCGAGATCGAGGACATTTCCTTTTTTATGTCTAAGTTTTGTTGCTTTACTTCACTTAGTTCGTTTCTCAATTGCCGCAATTCAGCAAGCAAGGAAGTCATATCAGTATTTGGGGATGGGTGTTCATCTGCCATCTTAGATTTTAAAGTCTGCGACTTAGTTCCCTTAGACATCTTCGACACTTAGATTTCACGCGACGTAAAGGCGGAGGCGGGCGGGGAGCAGCGGGAGGCAGGGCGCGGGTCAAGCCGCGAGCGAGCGAGCTGCGGGTTGTCGTAGGTCAGTAATACGCGGCCGTTGGTGAAATTTTCGAACTGTTTTTGCTTATGTTTCTTGATAGGAGAGTTGTTGTAGAGAACTGTTTGCACTGATAGATCGACGGGTTTGTTAGCTTTACGATGGTACTAAACACTGTTGAAAAACTGCACTTTTTCCATGGTTTCTGATTAAAAATTTGCGGAGCGTAATAAAACGCGTCCTTGTTGATCGGTGTTCCCGGACTACTGCAATATAACTGCTGTTATTTGTGTTATATCCTCAAGATCACAACCATGATAAATGAGAGCCATCAAAAGCTTCTGATAAAAGAGTCACGTACTATTAAACTTGATATAACCTACCTCGCAGCATGGAATTATACTTTTATATTCAGGGAATTTAATTCAAAAATAAATCCTACACACTACGAACGTTGTGACGCTAGCTCTTTCTAAATCTAGCATTTTCTAAAGTTATTGCAGTTTTATACCTTTTCATTTATTCCAAATACTTCTATGCTAAATTATTGTTTTAGTTATTGCTGTATCAAAGTAGTTTGCATTGCTTTGAATGATTATGTAAAATGTGTTTAAAACCAAATAAAATATTTACAAAACAGGTTTAACTTCAAAGTAACCATCTTTTCCACAAAAGATAAAAAGGTTTCGGGAAAACGTTGCAAGCTAGCATTTCAAACTTTATTTGCTGATTCCATCTTCCACAGCATCTGAACGGCTTCAGTTAAATTATATTTTAGTCCCAGTCGAGTACGCAACTCAAACAGCTCGAGTTTCTCTGATGGAAATAACCGCCTCTGTGGTCTAGTGGTAAGACCACCTGCTTCGGACGCAGAGGTCCCGGGTTCGATTCCCAGTGGGGGCAGATTTTTCTGTTCGGTTTGGTTGGTGGTAGGGCTTGTTCTAAGTCCGCCTGGCTAGCTACCACCATCTTACCTAAGTCTGTCGCCATAACAACAATGTTAACAGCATTGTTGTGTTCCGGCAGTTAGAGGTAAGATAGCCAGTTCCTCCGTGGTTGAGGATTCCGGGTGAAGCTCGCTTCCACCTTCGGCCAGATCATCACTTACCATCAGGTGAGATACAGGCCAAGAGCTTCCTCGTTGTGGATAAAAAAAAAAAAAAAAAAAACTACAGCGGTGTAAAGTCTAAAAGGAATGTAAATAATATGTAAATAGCTGTGTCGTTCGATGTAACGTCAGCCCCATAAATAACGGCTTGTTTCGCTTCTCGAGCGGCTAAAGTTGCTGTATTGAAAGAAAATTTCGTTGGCAATATGAAAATTTCATCTAAACTAGCATTTTCGTGTCATGCTTTCTTGTAATTCTTGATGTTGTTGGCGATTATAATAATGAGATTGCAGAATCTCGGTTTTTTCTAATTACTATGTCGTAACTTCGCTCCCTCATTAAGTACTTGATATTATTATGCCCTTTTGTACTTAATATTGGATACTAATTTTAAGATTGGATACTGATTTTAATAGTCAAAGCTAAGTAGGTATTTGAAGTGGAAACCGTTTCGATGACACACACATTACCTATCTACTCTCTTTACTTTTGTTTCATATTTTTGATGCTGTTTTGTGTCGCTGAATAAAATATTTCATTTTTAATTTTCATGAAGTAACAGTAATATATAAGAATTAGAATGCATCAGTGTCTAACTCTAAATGTTAAACTGCAACGTTTCCATTGCCAATTTTTGTCTCACATGTATCTGACTGTACCAGCCGCTAAATGCTGTTTACCTTTCAATGTTTAGCAAGTGTACAAACAGACCCACGGGGTTCCAAATTTACGTTATTTGAACGCTTTGAAGATAACTTGCGTACATTCAATCATGTTTCGAGCTTTTATTTAGAATTTTTACAAGCGTTTTAATATTAAAATCGAAAGTAAAATATCATTTTTTACATTATAAACACAGTTTGTATTAGACTTTATAATAGTGTATAGACCTACCAAATATAGTCACACATTAGTCGATTAAAAAAAACTACTACTCTAGTCAAATTATGATGATCTTGATTAATATTTCATACTAGATCCTATATCATTCAAAATTTTCTAACATGGACCCATTCAAACTTAGCATAGATTAATACCTTTTTGTTTGAATCTAGACACAAGCTAGGCTTTGTACTTAGTTTGAATCGAGGTTTGTGCTTCAAAACCTAATACGCTCGTTAAATCTGCTTGTATTTCTGTCTAATTACCTGCTGTCAATAAAACAGGTAATTTTAAATTACAACCACCCATTTAACCCTTAATTAGTCGCATGGGGTCAAAGCATTTTCGGATTCAAAAATGAAGCACTTGGCGCGGCCCGATTTTCTCCGCGCCCCCAGTAGCTTCATAAAACACGTCTTAGTTTGTATTTTGATAGCGACTAATTCACGGGAGTGGAAGGATGCGTCGCTGCGCTCTTGAGTGGTGACCCCATGCGAGTAATTACGTAACTTTTTTGGAAGAGGTAAGTTTTTTGTTTTATGTATTTATTTTGTGTATTATGAATAATATTTGTGTTATTGTATATTCAGTTAATAAATGTTTGTTATAAATGTGTTTTTACAGCTCTAAACAATAAAAATATTGATAAATTCAGTTTTACTACTACTTTGTCTTTTTTTTCAGAGTTAGTAGAGATAGGAAAAAATAGCAAATTGTGCAATGGTTGGAAGATGTTTCTGATGAAGAAGAAGTTGGAGGGTCGAGTTCTGAACCAGAGTTAGATGAAATAACAAAAAGTGATCATGATAGCGCTAATGAGATCGAGCAATCCTCCGCACAATCAAGTGAATCGAAAATGCAAGAAATGTACAAGATTTGTGTGCAATGATCACTCTGAAATATACTGTCAACAGTGTAACAAGAATGATTCCGAGAGTTCCTAAAAAATACTAATATTACCTATGATCTCAGTATACCTAAGTACAAATTGTTAATTATTGACAATTATTTTAATTTAGCTTGTTTTTGTATAATTAGTGAGAAATTCATGTTATTACCTATAGACATTAAATAATAAATAAAGCATTTTTATAATAATATAGTTCATTTACTTATAAAATTTCAGTATGTATTAAAAACTACTCATACAATTTGGGGTCATCTGTGACCCCATGCGAGCAGTTATGTAAGATTCTTTATGCGCGTAATTAAGGGTTAAATTAACTGCTTTAATTTTAAACAAATTAATACCTTCATGACCGCACGTAGGACCTTGATGTAACCTACAAAATATTTGCTCGCGGCCAAATTAAAACAGTTACCAGGAAATTATGCTGAAAAATCCACACAGGATTTAAACATAAAGCCGTGTTTAAATTGGCAAAATGAATCGTTAAAATTACAAACCTTATTTGTATTTAATTTCGCTGGACAATGACAAGTTAAATACCGGCTTTCATCAGCTTATTTACTTCTCATTACCAAACACTGGTCACTCTCAGTTGTTTGGAAATTTACCGAACTCTCGAGGGAAATTTGAGGAGTGCCAATTCGGCGAAACGGAATCTTTGTCAAGAGCGTATATACGTGGAATAATCTCCTTTAATTTCAGACTAATCCACAAGCTGATCAGATTTGAATGCTATTTTCACAGACGCGAATTTCTCGGAGGATTGACTGTGTAATGATAATTGATTGGGATTGTTATCGTGATGGAATCGTTTCCCAAAGCGATGTAGAACCGATTTTTTATATAAGTATAATCCCAACTAATATTATAAATGCGAAAGTAACTCTGTCTGTCTGTCTGTCTGTCTGTCTGTTACGCTTTCCCGCTTAAACCTCGCAACCGATTTTGATGAAATTTGGCATAGAGATAGTTTGAGTCCCGGGAAAGAACATAGGATAGTTTTTATCCCGGTTTTTGAAACAGGGACGCGCGCGATTAAGTTTTTCTGTGACAAACAAAATTCCATGCGGGTGAAGCCGCGGGCGGAAAGCTAGTATAATATAAATAAATAAAGTAGTTAACGGGACTATTCCCACTTTTCGTTCCCACCGCTGCAACTCCTGTGTAGCCAGGATCTACAGATTGACCGCCAATAAACCAACTAGTGAAGGTCAAGTTTGTCCCGGGGAAAAGTTAAACTGTCATTGGACCCGTAACGAAATTAATCAGAAGAACATAGGAGTTCGAAGTTAAGGTTCGACTTCCCTCCGTTGCAATACGGATGACAGGTGACAAACAAAGGTTTAGTATCCTTTATGAAAATATATGCACCACGGACAATAAACATCAATTAAGGGGACCGATTTCTAGTTAAGTTAGAAAACTGGTTTAATCTAGTTGAACATCCAATAATGGAGATGATAGATGCTCGATGCTTCAGGCACGTAAGCCCGTCCCGGTTATTGTCTCTAATAATATAGTTATGCACGCGGCTTAAGGTGTCTGGTACGAACACCTCCGCTTGAAACTGCTACACTTAAATCGATTTAACACAACTTTGATGTCCAAACCATACAAACAAATTGAGTTGAGATTCGGTATTTTTGACAATGTAAAAGGTCTCTAGGTCACACAAAAGTTCACTATCCAATCACGATTAAGCTTTACGATGAAAATTTAAAGAATTTTCTCGTCTAACATTTATTTGCTTTCTCTATTAACAACAGATCTCGGGAGAGTCGTTACGACATAAAAATTGCCTACAAAGAATTCTCACCGATGATAAAAGCGAGAGATCGTACTTTATGGCACCCCTTGGGATAGCTTACGTCCAGCTGTGGGCTGACATGGCGTCATAGAGTATTTTCACTGGGCTATTTTCACACCCGGTTTTCACCAAAGCGGTGAAGAGAGGCTATGTATTTTGAGCTACCAATTGGATTTCCGAAACGAAGCTGAACGGAACGGTGATGTGGAAATAACGAAATCTGATTGGT